TGACAATGAAGAATATGTTACCTCTACTCTGTGCCTCACTTTCCCTTTACATATAATGGAAAGTTAGGTTCTAACCTTAACTATGACAGATATAGTCCCAACATTTTTTTAAATTGTCTATAAAGGGCCACTTATTTGGCATGAATTGCTCTTTAAACTATTTTACACTGTTACTATTATTTTATTATCATTATATTATTAGTATTATGTTATTACAAGACATTCAGGAAAAGTAACTCTCTCATCTGCAAAACACCAAGCTGTGTTTTGTTTGTTTTGTTTTTACTATTCTCTGCATATATTTCTGTTTTTTTTCCCTTCACCTAATTTAGCATAGTGCCTAAGGCACTTGACTGCTAACCAGAAGGCTGGAGGTTCAAATCCGCCAGCCACTCCTCGGAAGGAAGGTTGGGCAATCTACTTCTGTAGTGATACTGCCTCAGAAACCCAAGGAGCAGTCGCTATGAGTCGGGTCCAACTCAACAGCACGTAACAACAACAACAATTTAATATTTGTCTACCCTCTAGTTAGTGCTTTACCATCCCTTTCCCACCTTCCCCTGGTAACAAAGAATATTTCTTTTCTTTTAAAATCCTTTTCCTTGATTTTTTTTACAACAGTGATCTCATACAGTTTATCTCTGTTTGTGATTGACTGATTTCAGCATAATGTGAGGTTTCACAGATTCATCATTCTTATTTAATGTTATGTAGTTTTCCAGTTTGGTGATCCATTACTCCATTCAGAGGCATTTAGGTTGTTTCCCTCTTTTTACTATTGTGAATACTGCTCTGATGAATATGGGTGTGTATATATCTGTTCATGTCATAGCTCTTATTTCTCTAGGATATGTACCTAGTAATGGGACTGCTAATTCATAGAGTATTTCTATTTCCAGATTTTAAAGGAAGTTCCATACCATTTTCAGTGCTTAAGGTATCTGACTGCTACCCAGAAGGCTGGAGGTTCAAACCCACCAGCCACTCCTAGGAAGGAAGGTTGGGCAATCTACTTCCATAGTGATACTGCCTCGGAAACCCAAGGAGGGGTCACTATGAGTTGGGTCTGACTCGAGGGCACATAACAACAACAATATACCAGTAGTATATGAGGGTTCCAATCTCTCCACACACTCACCAGCATTTGTTTTCTGTTTTTCTGAATTTTGCGGCAAAAGAATGTATATTTGGCTGTTGTTGGATGAAGTGCTCTGTAGATGTTTGTAAGATCAAGTTGGTTGATTTTATTGTTTAATTCATCTGTGTCGAGTTTCTTTCTAGTTGTTCTGTCTCTCATTGAAAGTGGTGTATTAAAGTCTCTTGCTATTACTGTGGAATCATCTATTTGTCTTTTCAATTCTGTTAAAGTCTGATTTAGATATTTTGGGGCTCTTTCATTGGGTCCATAGATAGTTATTATGGGTATATCTTCTTGTTCCTTTGATCCTTTAATCATTATGTAATGTTCTTCCTTATGAGGTTGTCTTAAGGTCTATTTTATTAGAAATTAATATTGACACTCCTGATGTTTTTTGATTGCCCTTTACTTTATATATTTTTTTCCAGCCCTTGATTTTCAGTCTATTTTTGTCTTTGTGTCTATGGTATGTCTCTTATAGAATGCATATTGATGGGTCATGTTTTTTTATCCATTCTGCAACTCTGTCTCTTGATTGGTACACTTAATCCATTTACATTCAGTGTAATTACTGACAAATATTAATTTATTGCTGTCATTTTGTTGGTTTGTTTTGGTGGTGTTGCTAATTTCTTTGTTCCATGTAATTTTTTGTACTGAGCTCATTTTGTTTCTGAATTTTTTTTATCATTTCTTTTGTTGCTATTGTTTTAGTATTTGATAAATATTTATGAGTTTTCCTCTATTTTATTTTGATCATAAGGTTTATTCTTTTTCTTTGAGGTCACCCAGTGATTTTTTTCTTCCTTACCAAATTTAAGACAATCTGTTCTGTCTCAAAATCATCTTGACTTCCTCTCCATTTAGAAGTTCTGTAGCTATAGTATCTATTCCTTCTTTTAGTTTGTAGTTGTCCTCATTTACAAATTGATGACTCTGGTTCCCTGTGTTAGTTTTGTAAGTTTATCTTGAGTACTTCTATATCTGAGTTGGTTTCTGGATTATGTTGTCATGTGTGTTAGTAACAGGCTGTTTTCTGCTGTTATCGCTTCTTTGTCCAAAGAACTTCCTTTAGCATCCCTTGTAAGGTTACTCTTGTTTTTATAAATTCCCTTAATTCCTGTTTATCTGGAAATATCCTAATTATGCCATCATATTTGAGGGACGATTTTGTTGGGTATATAACTCTTGGTTGTCATTTTTTTCTTTCAGGTTTTTATGTATGCCATCCCATTGTCCTCTCGCCTGCATGGTTTCTGCTATGAAATCAGGGCTAGTCTTACTGTTTGCCCTTTTGCAGGCAACTTTTCATTTTCCTGAGCTGCTTTCAGGATTCCTTCTGTCTTTGGTTTTGGAATATTTGATTATGGTATGTCTTGGTGACTTTCTTTTTGGGTCTATCCTGTTTAGGGTTTGTTCAACTTCTTGAATGCATGTCTTCTCATCTTTCATATTAGGGAAGTTCTCGTCCAAAAAACATTTGACAATTTTCTCTGTAGTTTTGTTTCTTTTTGTTTTGGAATTCTGGTCACATGTAAGTCATTCCTTCTGATGGTGTCCCACATAAATCTCAGGCATTCTTTTTTCTTTCTTTCTTTTTTCTGATTTTTCCTTTAACAACACAGTACTGAGCGATTTGTCTTCAATCTAATTCTGTCCTCCATTGATTCAATTCTACTTCTTCCCCTTTCAAAGTGCTATCCATCTCTGAAATCTTAGTATTAGTCTCCTGAATTTCTATTTGTTGTTTTGGTATGGTTTCTAATATTTTTTGTCAGTTTGTTCTTATATCGTTTTCCTAGATTGTTCTACAGTTTTGTCTTTGTTTTGCTGAATTTTGTCAGTGTTTCCCTTGATTTTGTCAGTATTTTCTTTGCTCTGTCTCTTAGTCCATTGACGTTTCCTAAATATAATTCTTCTTAATTCCTCAGGTTAGTTCCAATGCCACTTCTTCAGGCAGATTTTCTGGCTCTGTCTTCTGGCCCTTTGTTTGCACTACTTTATCTTGCTTCTTTGTGTGACCTGGGATTGTCAGCTGTCTCCAGAACATTGTGATGTCTCTGCATTTATTTTTAATTGGTGACTGTATGCTGATGTGATTTGTTCAGTTTTTTTTTGTTTTGTTTTGTTTGTTTGTTTTTTTGCTTTATTTTGTTGATATATCAATGTGAGTGGGGCTGGTGTGCTACTCTATTCAGTAGTTTGGCAGCACATAGGCACTCACAACCTGTCTCATGGTGAATGTGATAGAAGATGAGAATTTGTGCACAGATCTCTGTTCACTGCTCATGTACAACAGCTAATGGGGCTTAAACTGGCATTGGCCACCATCTGTCATTGATCAGCTGGTACATAAGCATATGGTGTCTCTTGCCTAGTGGGTGGGGCTGTGGGAGGTAGAGATGTTACTGGTTTGTGTGGGCACACTGCTGTCTCCTGCCTTTCTGGTTGCTAGCCACCTGTGTAGGTGCTCATGCAGTTCTCAACCACCAGAGCCAATTATCAGGTTGCTGCACCAATTAGAACACTGCTTGCAAATATTCAAAATGGTCACACCATCAGGACAGTCAGTAGTCCAAAGCTCCATTTATCTCCTTATCGGCTGTTTGCATTCCACTTCTTCTACTCCAAAAGCCCACTGCCATCAAGTCGGATCCGTCTCATAACAACCCCTCCTTGGGTTTCTGAGGCAGTATCACTATGGAAGTAGATTGCCCAACCTTCCTTCCAAGGAGTGGCTGGTGGGTTTGAACCACCAGCC